TCACCGATCAGTAAAGCTCTGTGGACCAGACTGTTTCACTCTTACCCGTGCAAAGTAGTATGGTTCGCCCATATTAGTCCAAACAAAACAGATTTATGGAGTAAGTTATTATGGTATTCAACAGAACAGGGCAGTTCTGCCTCCTGGGCAGCTGCAGCAAATGCAGCAGCACTGGCAGCTTTGTTGCTAGCAACTAGCCACCGGCTGCAGAAGCTATTTTTGCATGCACATCCCCAAAGGCAGCACCCAAGGCTGCTGCTTCAGTTGCCCTCCCTCAGTTCTGCTACTGTTCCTCAGTTGAGTAAGTGTCATCAAATTTGGTCCTCCCATACCAGGCTGAAGAAAGTCCTAGCAACTATTCAATTAACCTTAACAGAAAATGTGAGGAGGGTTTTATTTTTGGTCAAGTTCCACTGGTTCCAAGTAGATTACTCATTTGGACTACATTGTTGTTAGTGCTTAATTTTAGCTGTCGGATCATCTTAAATTTGCTTTATATTAGCCTCCAAACCTGGTCAGGATTGAAGCTCCATCATTCTAGGTGCTGCATGATGATACAGGGCTAGATTTTTATTTTAGGTAAACCTGCGAAAAGAATGATGGCTTGAATTGCACTATCATAAAAGTAATCCCCGGGGATAGTGGGTCCAAAAAGAGGTTTTTACCATACCCCTAAGATAAACTCTAGTGTAAACTTTTGTCCAGCAAAAGAAACAGAGACATTTCTTTCTTAAGGGTAAGATTATTAAACCTTATTAAAAAGGTTTCTTTGTTCTTTTGAGTTGGAAACTTGCAGGTGCTGGTTTCCGAAACATTAACAGCAAGAGATGAGTATTTATGGTCAGCCCAGCTGTTGTGCTGAAAGAAACCTCCAGCTTCCACTTCTTGTTTTTACGAAAGGAAAGAATTGTCCAGGCAGATTTATAAAGCAACCAAGTCTGGCAGGTATCCAAAGCTGAGTGTTGCTGCATCATGGTATGCCTGGGTCAAGGAGATTTTTGTTAGCTTCATAGTGAGGAATGAATTTAAATTAATTGTAATTAAAATGTGCGGGCAGTAGATATGTGAAAAATGGGGTAGTGAGGCAAATCTTTTAAAATTAAGATTAAAACACATGCATTCACCCTTTCCTTAGGAATTGCATATTGGGTGACCTAGGAAATGTAACATTTAAGGTGATCTGCATGGGGGATGTGTAGCTGGTCAAATAATTATCCATGAATAAAAGTAGAGCTGTAAGCTGAATAAGAATTTGTATTAATTGAAGGGATGACTTAACCATCATAGCAGTCAGTGTGCATAGTTAAGTGGGCTGGGAACTCTTGGCCAGATCAGTACTTCAGTAATTTCAAAACTCATACATCTTTTTTGTTTATGTATTTAATTTATGATATTTTATATGACTCTGCTGCTTGAGCAGAGCTTTTGGTGAGGGCAGCTTCTGTGTCTGATGTACCCAAAAGCTCATGTGCATGAAATACACAAGTGAAGCCATTCTGGAGGCATACACCTACAGCTGCCCTTGAGACCTATGCCTCCATCATGCTTGATAACAGCCTCCTGGGATGTCCTCAGAGGCATTTCACCACTATTCCCAGGTTTGGTGCATGGGAGTGGGAACAGGTGTGCATGGGTGAGGCATGTTCAAGAGCTCTGCTTGCTGAGAGCTCTGTAGAAGTGGTGTGGACATACATTTCCTTTTTCCATCCATTCTGCATAGGTAGGATGAGTGTAGAGATAAAAAAAAGAATGTATGATACCAAGAATCTGTACCAGGCCTGCCTTTATATTAATTACGTATATAATGCTATATATGTTCCAGGTATTTATGTGGCTAATACCCAAATAATAAGCAGCTTGTCTTCACAGTGTGATGCAGCCAAGGGGCAATTCAGTTCAAATGCTTGGATAGTCATAGCATTTTCTCATTATACAGAAACCTGGTCAACTTTGATATATATTTATATTTTAACAGCTCTTGCCCACACCATAACTATGTTAGTGAGCTGCCGAGAAATTAAAATACACTTTCAATGTAAAGCATCTCTATAGCAAATGAAACAAAACCAATATCTGACCTCCTTTCCAGTCCTTGTTCATCTTGTGTCTGAATTTTTCTTGCCAATCTCTTTTACAGCATAAGCAGTTTGGGGACTATTTTATGTTGCCTTCTGTATAGCAGATACAATCAAGCTGCTTCATGAACGTTAAAAACATAGGTGCAAGGAAGAAAAAAGTTTTAGTTCTTTAGTATGAATTATGGGGACATATTAAGTGAAAGGTTGAAGGCAAGTAGCTGCATAAATTGGCTTTCCTCAGCTCAGTAAGAGATGGTACTGGACTTCAGAAATATTGAGAGCTAACAAAAAGGCTTTATATAGCTTGTCAAAACTCCTCTCATGTTTGGGGATAACAAGTGGGGAAGAAAAACAGCTGAAACCTGCTGAACATTTGGTATGAGTACAAAACATCTACAATGCGTCTGCATTGATCTGTAAATGTCATGCCTAAAAGTTCCCTGTGGAAGAGCAGTTACTGTGGATGTTCTGTACTAGTAACCCCAGTCCGCTAAGAGACTACCTAGTGGAAGCTCCAATCATCTGGGAGCGTGGGAAGACATTTTAATTCATTTGTCTCTGTAGCTTTCATAATGAAAGGAAGTCTTGTGCTTTACCATGTGAGATGCATCATTGTAGCTTCTGGCTGTATACGTCTTTTATGTCTCAAAAGAATAAGAATATTTTTTACTTTTTTTTTTTTTAATGATTCAATACGCTTTAGAAAGTATATGCCAGAAGGGCAGATCTGAATGCATACTATTTAAAATGCTTCTGGGAAATGGATGTTTAAATGGAGGTTTATTGTATAGTATACTATTAATATTCTGTATGGAATCTTTTTGTTTCTGTTCAACAGGCTTTCAAAGATCCTTATTTAAATGCAGACATATTTTTCCTTAATATATGCTTCAAACATTTCCTGTGATGGTAAAGTTAGACACAGAGCAATACAGTTTCTCAGAGATAATGTCAGTTGTAAATAAGGTTTGGGGTCCTGGGTTTCTTATGTCCTTGCACTCCAGCGAAGTGATAGAATAGTTTTGTAGTATTTTAGGTCTAAACTATACTCTCATAACACTAGGAAATGAATTAAGCAGCTGAAATGCATTTTCACAATAGACTGAATGTACGACATTCGGAGACTTCGGTTCATGGTCCAGTAATTTTTTTAAACTTTCACTTGTACTTTCTAATGGCCCTATATTTATTACATATAAAGCTATTTCAAAAGATTAGCTGTAGGAACAGCTGAATAACCACTAACAGAATGCCATTTTAATTTGCAATGAAATCGGGAAATCCTGAAATCTGATCTAAACTACGCAGCTTACCGAAAACCATATAACTTAGATCTATTCCACCTCAGGCTTTTTGAATGTCTCTACCTAGCCACAGTAGACACAATTAGCCCTTGATAATTACTCTTTGCACTAGCTTGTAAGTAGTCTTGGATTAATTTTAAGGGAAAAGAGGCCAGCCTTCTCAAGGGACTAGATTAGTCCAAATATGGTTTTGAAAGAGTATTTTCTTCTCTCCCATCATGAATTTTACTTCCCCTGCCCAGACTTGCAACTTCTAAACCACTGTAGATTGAGGTCATATCCAACTGTGAGGGCAGTTTCACATTGCAATGTTAGCATTACAACTCATGCAAGCTGTGCTGTCTAATCTCACATTGCAAAATATTTCTGAACTTCTGAAGTTAAAATAGGACACACAGAAAACAGCAGCAACAACACAATTTGCCTCCTAACTCCAGATCCAATTATGTCTGTGTGTTGAAATGACAGTTGCTGAAGAGCAACATTCATTAATTTTTTTGTTTTCTTTTCCAGGTAAGTGGAAGCTTTCTCTTCAGTGCTAGTGGGAGTGTTTGATCATTGTGGTAAGTGCTTTTCATAGAGTGATTATATGGACCTACAGTTTTTAAATAAGTCATTTCTGGGGAATCCAAGCAAGCTGCTTGTGAAACTTTTCCCCCCTTAATATTGAAGACTGAGCCTACTTGTTCACATTACATTTATAATTACTTCTCAGAGTTATTTTCTTGGAATTCTGTACACGGGCATCGTCTCATTGTTTCACTTTTAAGGTCATTTGAGCATAGAGGCAAATTGGCCCTCCATAAAGCTCTTTCATTATATCAGAGAAAACCTCTTAACAGTTAGTTCTCTGCATGTGGAACTCTGCACAGTTGTCAGGATCAATTGTATTTACAACATAAGGACCTGTGGTTTGGTTTTGGCTAATATTGCGTTCTGCTTGATTTCATATTACTGATGCTGCTTAGCTGTGGATTTTGCCCATGTTTCAAGGTCATGGAGTATTTATCCTCCCGAAATCTTACCTATTCAATTATAATATACATTTATTATAAATGTCATACTCTTACATTCAATGAATATTCTTGTATGTTATTTTCTAGGAGAACATTTCTATTCATGAGAAGCTCTGATTGTTTTTGCTGTGTCTGCTTAATAACCATGGCTTACTATACATATATATTAAATGTGATGTAAGAAAGGGGAGAAAAAGAAGCACTTAATGAGGAGTTCTTGACTTAAAATACAAATGTATTTTGGAATTTGTTTTATGCGCACTGAAGTGTGCATGTTGTTCCTAAGGTGTAGTATTTTTTCTTCAAGTTATGAGGCAGAAACAGCCATTTAGGCTGAGTTGATTCTTGAGCTGATTCTCCAAGGTTTTTGCTTAAGATGAACAGTGAATGAAGCAGAGGGTTGCAGAATAGTAAGAATCTTCTCTTGTATCGAAAGCACTAGACTACCAGCAGTATTCAGGCAGTGTGCTGTTCCAGGTTATTGTGTGTCTGTTTTCTTGTCAGTTTAGTTTGTAGCATAAACTTATTGGTGAGACTTAGTGCTAATACATATCTGTAATGAGATTGAATTATTTCTGGCAGTCGCTAATTTTTGGTTGCTTGATTTTGCAGCCTTGTTTTACTGTGACTTTTATACCCAATGTTTGTTTATATGTTGGATTAAAACCAGAATTGTTTATAGTAAAGATGTTTGAGATGTATTCACTGTCTTCAGGCTTTCCAGAAGGGGGCATTTACACTACAGGATGGTGTTTGGGGTGGAGGCTGGCTATGCTAATGGTTTGGAGCAGTCCAGCTACACAGATATAACTACACTTATGGGAAAAGAAGTAAGGCATTGCAATCTTATTGTGCCCAGCACCAGCACCCTCAGACACACTGTACTCAAATGGAAGTGGATGTGGAAAAATTATAGCAGTGATTCCACGCTGTCGCCTATCTGCATGCAACTACATTGCTTCTGGTAGGAGAGATGGTCCCTATGGAGCAGTGCAGTGTTGCTGCAGTGCATAAGTTTGTGGTGTAGAAATGCCCATAGAGTATACAAGACTTAAGATTTCTTTCACTAAGTACAGGCAGTCAAAAAGCCTGAGACTGAATGGATTCAATCTCTGCATGCTAGTCTAAGCTTCATAGATTGAACCAATAAGCAAGTGAACAGACATTCACGTTTAATTCTGGAAATGTAGCTACATGCCTGCAGTGACCCAGGCCAGAAGGCAGAAGAGCTAGATAATGCCTCCCAGCTTGGCTGGAGCAGATAGCTTGGGCCAAGGCCTGCCCACCCTGGGAAGCGGGAGATTGCAGGGAAGGTGGAAAGCATCCTGGGATGCTGGGGGACTGAGTTAACTTGAATCTGGAGGGAATCTGGGACAGAATTCAATAAACTGCTTTCATCTAAGTCAGTAAGTCTGATACTACATCCATCCAGGTTTATCTTAAACTGGTTTCAGCCATTTTGGGAGTTGTTTATTTGCACTGAACTTCTGTTGTGTTACAGATATGAATCAGCTTCTGATCACTTGTACCAGTTTGTGTAATTTCTGTCCCTTGTCATAAAATCTAAGTGACACTCAAGTCACTAAAGTTAAGACTACTTTTTTATTTCTATAACCCAGAAAGAACAAATCTAATGATAAAATCACTGAAACATTGGTCACCAAAGGACAAAATCTGAAATTTCTGTAAGTTTTCTAGGTCTCTTTTACCCAAGCCAGTGCTAAGGAATCATTGCCTGCTGATTTAAAGAACCATGTTGAAATCTCTCAGGCCCCTCAACCAATTAAACATGTCTTAAATAGTAACATGGCCACACGTTAATGCAATTAATGGCACAATAAAACAGGGAATAACCACAAAGTTCTTACACAAAATATGTGTAAGAACTTTGTGGCTGGTTCCCATTACACCTTAAATCAAATGTGAGGCCTGCGCTAATTGGCCTTTCAGGATTTTGGTGCACTTCAAAGACTGGCACACCCAGCTTGCTACTTGCCACTACAGGGGAAGCCTGGGATCATTTTTTATAGTTACATGCTAATTTATACCAGCATTAGGGTGCAATTGGGATCTGATCCCCATTCACGTGTGCTGTTATGCAAGTCCCATTGCACCTTTTAATGACTGTCTGTCAATGGGCTGAGAGGCAGGGAATGTCCAAATGCAAGAATCTCTCAGGCCAGGATTGACTAAGTGCATTTGAAAAAGTTACCATCACTGTTGCTTTGTCTCAGGCTTGGTTGTATAGTTAGACAACTAATCAGTCTGTCAGAGATGGTTAGTCATGTTAGTCTGAAGTCAGGCAGAAGATAGGGTAGGACGGTACCTTGGAGACTAATTGGTATGGAAAAGCATGAGCTCGACAAAGAACAATTCTTTCCAGGACTGAATGTGTTTATGTAATGAGCCATATATGTACATTGGCACCTGCAGCTTCCATTTAAGAGTTCTCTTTCATCAATCTGAAAAAGAATCTTCTAATTTGAATGTATTATATTAACACTAAAAGCCCATTCCATGTTTTTTTTTAAATTGTCTAATTTTTCTAATCTTTTAAATTGTATCCATGGGTTGAATAAGCATGCTTGAGAAAATGCACTGAGGTGAAGAACATTGTTATTGAAGGGTAGAATTCTGTTTTCCTATGAGTGTCTAAATGACAGCTTTCTATCATCACAGTGGCATTCTGAGCACTGCTAATAGTTCTGTTTACTCTGCCTGCAGGTATTTTTGATCATCAATACATTTTGTTGTGAACATTTCTAATCTTCAAAAGTATGGGGGTTTGTTTAATTTGATCACTGATTAATTTCATCCTGGTCAACTAAGATTTAATTTCAGGAACTAAATATATATTTTTAAAAGAATAAATCTATTATGTTGTTTCATTTTCAGCAACTGGCTAATTCAAATGCTGTAGACATTTAATAAGGCCAAAATACTGAAAGTAGCAGCTGCCACTTCTGTTGCTGGAGGAGGACTCATGATGGCAAAATGACAACGATTAAAACTTGTGCTAGGCATTCTAAGCATTTTTTTAAATAAAAGCCTCTTCTATTCATATGTATTTCAATGAATGTTTTGCCATTTTTGGTGAAATTTTCTGGAAGAGTCAGGAGGAGAATCATGTCCAGAGACTTCCGTTTCTTGGGCCCAACTGAAGGTCTGCCCACTTCAGTGTTTTGAGGCATGTTATATGGACTATGCATGCTTATGCATGGGGAAATAGGCCGCTGTAGGATGCCATTTATGACAAACATGTTTACTTTTCTCTTAGAAATTATCCTGCTTTGCAGACTTATTTGGATTGTTCAGTTTTATTCATTTTTTAATCCAGGTTTCATTTATAAATATTGTCTTTTTCAAATCTGCTAGGGAGTAAAAATTTTAAGTATAATACTTGCATCTTTTTTAAAGCCTTTTCTGCTTATATGTATAAAGGCGCCTTCTTGACTTATTGACAAGGTGGAGAAAATTACTACAATTTAAAATATGCCTTCAAAAAGGAATAATCTAATGAATGGCACCTACTTTGACAGACTAATCTACGTCTCTTACAGATAGAGGTATTTAGCTGTACTAGTCTGAAGTCAGGCAGAAGGCAGGGTAGAGTTGCAAACTTATGGTTAGTCTATTCTGTTAGTTTCTAAGGTCAAAAACAGGTGGCAAAGCAAGGTTAACAGGGTAAATAAGTTCTTTTTATTAAAAAAAACCTGGGGTAAAACCTTTTTTATTTTGTAATTACTATGTTATTGGGTGAGGAGGATGATTCTAACTTCTACCTTAAAAAAAAAAACAAGCATACTTTTCTGCCTGTCCTAATGCTGATACCATCCCTGTATCCTATTATTTTTCACAATGAAAAGCTGGCATGAGTAATTAGTTAAAAGCTAACTTCTCAGAAGCACCAAACACCTTTAATTGAAGCAAGACACTGAGAGAATTGTTCAGCTATTTCTAAAAGTTTGAAAATATATAAATGCTTATGTGTTGGGTGGGTGTGTATACCCATGTATCCAAATCGATGTAAACTTCCATGCCTATCTAATATATAAACCATGTACAAGATTAAATTAACCTGATCATATTTAACATTTTGTTGTTTGGCCAGTATTGAATTTCTTTTTGGATTTGGCACATTTTTGTTTTGTATTACTTTGCATCTTTCTTTGTAGTTCATGACCTCACATTTACCTGACCGCATTTTTGGTGGGATTAGTCTGAATCACATTCCATAAAGCAAAAAGCACATTAGTTATGTTCATTCATGAAGTCTTATCCAGAGGGATTGAGGTCAAATGCTTATCTGTGTAGTCTTTAGTCCTGTAAATTTAATCCAAAAGGTTTAATAATAAAAGTTTGCCTCTTGCTTCTTTATAGTCTTAATTTGGGGAGCTGTGGGTAAATTTATAAAGAAATGGCCAGTATAGTTTTGGAAGATGTACAATGTCTCAAAAGTAGGATTTGTAGCTTCATGCTACACTGAATAGAACCAATATGGATAGCAATATTATTGAACTACAGTGCGATACAATTTCAGATTGCCTTGTTTTACTTAGCTTGCTTAATGTCCCTTGTATAAAATCAGCTTACGGTAAGTTAGAGATGACACATTGTCTAGTTAAATCATAGCTCTTAGATTTGATTGAGATTATACTGAGAACACTTAGTTTAGTAGTTACTTCAGCTAATTTATACTAATCAGAGCCCCATAACAATACCTTGAAATGATGCATTTGCAAGTTTACATTTGTTAGCCACCTTTAAAACATGTTATTATGTTGAAAATATCATAAAGCTATTACATATTTCCATCAATGGTCTTAGATAAAATTGAAAGTAAATTTATTTTGTATTGTGTGTCAGAATTAAGGCTATAGAAGCACCATGATATTTATTTCATGAAACAGAATGCCTACTTTTGCTGCTTTAATTTACTTAGGGATGTAAAAGGATATTTTAAAGAATGAATCATTCCATGGAACACAGCCATGTTGTGCTATGCGTGTTGCTTATACAAAAGTAAGAATTAACTGAAGCAAAGTTAAACTTATTTAATAAAAAATAAAATCCACTAAAACAGAAAACAGTTTTTATATTATTTATTTAGGAAACTATTAATAAAATAATCTGAATAAAATGTTATATCTTGCAAGTAAGAGCACCGAAACATATTTGAATGAGTGTTTTTTTTTAATTCAGTGAGAAATCTATTTTTCTCATTGCTTGCCTCCCAGGAAAATATTAAAAAAACATTTAAGATGATTAGTAACAATTGCTATTGTTGTGTACTCTATCAGCCTTGAGGATTTCTGCCTCATTCTCACAGATGCATGCATACAACTAAGTTTTCTTTTTTCTTTTGGAAATGGATGGACAGGGGTACTTATGAATATGTGTAAAATAATATTGTTATGATTGACAGCTGAGGTGAAATCAACAATTATTTTTCTAATGTTCATTTTAGAATGTATTTAAATACAAAGAAATCTCTACTAAAATATTATAATTTAATGGACTATTGGGCACGGTAAAGTCTATTTTCCCTTATCTCACACATTCAACTGTTGTTTACATTACTATTTCCCCAAGTCCCTACAACTATTAAAATATGCAAATGATGTTATGCTACCCAGTGGTACAATGTTTTATTTAATAGTTACCAAATTTCCCTGTAATCCACTAAAAAATAATTTTGATTTATCATTTTACTTTAACTAGCTCCCTATTTATCCCTATACTCTGTCATAATGTGCATCTTTGGGGCATTTAAATCAGTTTCCCTCTGCATAGATCTAGCAATGCCCATTTCCTCTTAATCCAGGAATTTGCTTAATGGTAGAAACCAACTAAATTCATAGATCTGGCATAGTAATAGTATGTCATTCTTCAGCTTTCACTCTCAAATGACACATGCATGCTTAGGACCCGGGGCAAGGCCCTTAAAGACAGCAGATGGAATGGGCTGTAGAAACTGGAGCAGCAGCTCTGACAGAGTAAAAGCAATGTTATTGGGAAAGGAAGGAGAGCAGGAGCCTAGCACCACTCCGGGGCTAGCAACAGACGTTCAAAAAGCCTGAGCTTGAATTGATTGACTCTTTGCAGGTTAGTCTAAGCTGTGCAGCTTAAATTGATTAATAACGGGACAGATGTTCTCTGTTAAATCAGGAAATGCAGCCACATGCCTGCAGTGGCTCAAGCCACTTAATTAGAAAGCTGCTCTAATTAAGTGCCCAGACCATCATATGTATCAGTGTCCTTGCACTGAAAAATGGCATTGGGGGCATTTTAACTAACATTTGTTGAACAAGCTTTAGTTATAGCACCCCCCCTCCACCATTTTTTCAGTGCCGGGACACTGATACACATGACACTGGAGTCCTCTGGAGCCCTGGAATTACCACACTCCAGCAGACTCAATTAATCTGTAATTACAGCATGTAGGAGCTATATTTGTATAGGTGCCCTATTCCTCCACAACAGGAGTTAGTCATTGATTCTTATCCAGTCTCCACAATCCTTTTTGAGTATTCTTTACAGCTCTTTGTCTTGCTATCTGGGATGGAATGGTTGGCAAATCCAATGGCCTTACCTCCAAAACACAGCTGTGCAGTAGCATGCAGTTAAAACAAGCATTCAGGAATTAGGAAGCCTCCTTGTTTTACAACTTTCTGTTCAGCAAAAAAGAGTTTTGTTGCCATGGGATTTTAATGTGGATGGTTCCTACTGTCCCTTGTGACTCCTGGATCCCAAATCTTCTGTGCTTGCAATCTGAGCTATTCACCATGTCCTTGTCACTTGGACTTGGAGCCAACTGTCTTTTGAGTCCGTCACTGACGATGGCACTCATCCAGACTAGAATATCTGGGATGAGCAACCTGTAAACTTAAATTTCTCTGTAAAGACTGATACAGTTATAGAAAATAACTGAATAATAAAGAATACTTGAGTTATTAAAAAAGCCTATGGGAGGAATGCTAATTCTATTTTGTAGATAATTTAGAAATGTTGGCTTCACTCAGATTTGGAGCACATGCTAAAACCTAATTTGGTCTGACTCTTCTTTGCTCAGCTGCAACAGGAGATGCAGATTGAGGGTAATCAGCATTATAAGCTTCCCTGGTCTCAAGGCTGATAAAGAGGTTGGAGTTTCAGCAGCTTAAAAGTCAAGGCTTAAGGGTTCCCCATGTGTAACGTTAAGGAACAAGGCAGCTATAGATGGCATTGTGCATTTTTGTTTTACCTGTGATAAAAATCATTTTATGGGTTTGTTAAAAAGGAAAAAGAAGAGAAATAAATAGATATATTTAAAGACAGGATCTATACTTCCCCTGATGCAATGGAAACAATATAAAATCTCTTCTTCAATCCCTCTTAAACTACCTTAAAAATACCATGTGCAAATCCATTTGTTTTAGTGGAATTCTATATGAGAAGTCTACGTAAGGAAGAGAGCATACGAGCCTTGGGGCGTTCTAACTTGTGTAGAAAATCAGTTCAGCCCACAGAAGTTACCTAGAGCTGTGTAAAACGGCTCTGTTCTGATTTGGATTCGGATTCAGCCATTTCAGAGGGACAGTAATTCAATTTGGTGTTTCCATCAGTGTCCTGATTTGGCCAAATCTGTTTTGGAATTTCGACACTGATTCGGAGATTTGGCCATAGACTATAATGGGGAATCACTAAAATTCCTATAACTTTGTCATTTTTGGCTGATTTGGATGAAAATAGCAGAGATGGTAGCCTCTTCTGAGCCCATGAAGCCTGTGAGGTTTCAAGGAGATAGGTACAGGGGTTTCTGTGAAACTGCACCTCAAACTGTTCAAAGCAAAACTCGTGCCACGTGTGTGTGTTAAGGGGTGCATGTAGGTTGTAGCCATGTTGGTCTAAGGATATAGGCAGACAAGGTTCTTTGGGTAAATGTGCCATCTTTTATTAGACCAACTAAACAGTTGGAAAAAAATGTTCTTCGCAAGCTTTTGAGTTTAAAAACCCTTCGTCGGGCTGAGGAAGCATCCACAGTTGGTGTGTGCTCTTCCTGGATCGAAGGAATAGTAAAGGAGCCAGAGGCTGGGATGAAAATATTAGGGCTGTGTGAAACTTCAGCAGCCATTTCATTTTGGAGGTGTTTCGGCCCATTTCAGCAGCTGAATCACCAAATCTGAATCTTCTCTCCTTTATATTTTAGTCAATATAGAATTTTTTCTAAAAGTTCTTACTAGTCTCCACTAAGAAGCTGCTCTTCCTTTTTATTAATATTTTCATCTTGTGAGTCATCAGCTTGTCTCCTCATGCTCTCGCCTCTGTTTCCTTAGCCCCATTTCAACCAGCTCAATACAGGATATATTTTATATTCCAAATATACAAAATACATTTTTTTTTAGTTATTGATTCTAGTGGTTCAGAATGAGGTTCCTAAAGAGGAGAAATTTGTGTGGCTTTTTCTTATACCTGATGGGCACATCTACATGTGTGCTTTACTATGTAGATTAATTTGTTGTGTAAAAAAGCATCACCATTTACATGAGCGTGTCAATGAGGCTGGTGTAGACTAAATAACTGCACCATCAGATAGTCCCGTCAGGCACAAATAATATCTGACAGCAGAGTTAATTACTGCACTTAAACACATGTAGATAGTGACATCAGGATTAGTTTACTTCAGCTCCAATTGCACTGGAGTTTATTCAGTCACATTAATTGCATGTGTAGACATACCCAATTTGAATTTTTTGGGGGGTTTTGCTGATATAACTGCTTTTCTATCAGCAGGAAGAGAAAATTTTGAAAAATGTCTGGAGAAACTACTGCAAAACTAAAGAGTGTTTAAGCTTGAAAGCTTAATCTTGAAAAGCTAAACAGAACTTTTTCCCATTTTTGTAGGTGGTGATGGGTGAAAAATTTTATAAATATGATGTAGTTACCTGTGATAGCAGGAGACTGGACTTGATGACCCATATGGTCCCTTCTAATTTTCTTCTCCAAAAAGAAGAGCACTTGATAAGTGTTTCATTTTGCTTCATGCAAAATATGAGCAAAAATTAAATCTAGTATCACAAACATTTTCTGTCAAGCTTCAATTTCTTTTGTTCTAGCTTCATGGTATCACAATGATTTGAAGGAAGGTTTATGTAAAAGGGTATTTCTTTTAATAAAAGTCATCTATGAATACTTCCAGTATTAGTTTCTGTTTGAACTATTCCTGAGTTCTCACATCCACAAAGTAAATGTAGATATTATGCCTCTCTCTTCACTGGTGTAACTCCAGTTATTTCAGTAGAGTTGCTGTTGATTTACAGTAAGTAAAGAAGAGGAGAAACAAGTTCCAATTTCAAATAGCATAGGAGTTTTTTTGTAGCTGTGAAGGTCCTGCCATGATGGTTGTTGTAGCTGTGGTAGTCATTTTGCGAAAGAGGCAAAAATGGTGATCCTCAGGTTAGATCTGTATTGGCCTTCAAAGAGTAGTTAGACTTATTTAAACTGGATTTTAGACTTAAACTTATTTAAACTGAAGCTTTTATAGTAGAAGACCATATAATATTTTCTGTCACATGACATGCACGTTTTCCCCAAAAATCAGTGCCCCAAAATTGGGGTGTGAATGTACCAAGTGGGAAAGCAGATTTTCTGCCTAGGGTAAAGCACACTGCTTTGATTTCTGCTCCGCAGGGCAGCAGCTGTCGCATCACTATTAGTGCAACAGAAAGAATCAATTGACTTAATCATAGAAACATAAAAAAATTGGGTTGGAAGCGACCTCAGGGGGTCATCTAGTCCAACATCCTGCTCAAAGCAACACCTTCCCCAACTAGATCATCCCAGCCAAGACTTTGTCTAGCTGGGTCTTAAAAACCTCTAAGGATGGAGATTACACAGACTTTCTGGGTATCCTGTTCCAATGCTTTAATACCTTCCTCATGAGAGAGTTTTTTCTAATATCTAACCTAAACTTCCCTTGCTGCAACTTGAGACCATTGCTCCTTGTTCTGCCATCTGCCACCACTGAGAACAGTCTTGCTCCATCCTCTTTGGAACCCACCTTCATGGAGTTGAAGGCTCCTTTCAAATCCCCTCTGTTTTCTCTTCTTCAGATGAAATAAGCCTGGTTCCCTCAGCTTCTCAGTCATGTGCCCCAGCCCCCAAACCATTTGTGTTGCTTTCCTTTCTGTAGTGGGGGTGCAAATTAGACACAGTACAGATGTACCTCACCAGTGCCAAATAGAGGAGAATAATCATTTCCTTCAATTTGCTGGCAGCACTCCTACTAAACAGCAGCCCAGTGTGCCACTAGCCTTCTTCCCAGCAAGGCCACACTGTTGGCTCATATGCATCCTATTGTCCACTATAATCCGCAGGTCCTTTTCTGCAGTGCTGCTGCCCAGCCAGTCAGCCCCCAGCCTGTACTGGTGCATGGGACTGTTCCATCCTAAGCACAGGGCTTTGCACTTGTCCTTATTGAACCTCATGAGATTTCTTTTGATCCAGTCCTCCAATTTGTCGAGATCTCTCTGAATCCTAGCCCTATCCTCCAGCACATATACTACTCCTCCCAGCTTGGTATGATCTGTCAATGTTCTGTGAGGGTGCACTGCATCCCATCTTCCAGGTCATTGATGAAGATCTTGAACAAAACTGGCCCCAGGACTGACCCCTGGGACACTCCACTTGATACCAGCTGCCAACCAGACTTCAAGCCATTGATTGCTATTCTTTAAGCCTGATGATTCAGCTAGTTTTCTATCTACCTTACAGTCATTCTTCCTTAGCTTGATAGCTCACTGTTTTTCACTCCACAGGAGTTAACAATCATCTCTCCTTTTTAATGGTCTTGGTTCCACTTCTCAAACTAACTGTCCTTTTTCAGTTTTGCTGCTCTTTCTCCTCCTGTTTCACAGCCACGGAGACTCTTTAGCTCTTTTTAAAATCATAGATACACCCATGGAGACCAGTCTTAAACAGCAGCTAGGGTTTCCATTTATTTAAGCAGTAAGTCAGCTGAAGATAAGTTGCCGTTCCTCCTGTATACATCCATAATTCTGGGGGAAAATATTTTCATTCTGCCTTTCAAAACAAGGTATGTATCATATTCTAAAGGATTGTTGTAAGAAAATAAGGTAATTTATAGAAGAAAATGAGGTAATTTATTTGGCCAGTGTGGTTCATGCCTAGCTAAGTTAGAACTGGCTTTAGGAACCATATTCTAGTTAGAAGGGCATTCATAATAATGTAAAGGTCACTGGGGTTTGAAAATATCACTCAAGCAGTATACACATGTTTTGCTTTGTCCAAGATAGCAGTTTCATTTAAAATCTAGAAATAAAGGCATAAAAGGAAAGGCTTTTTTTGTGATTGAAAATCTGGACACTTGATACCAAAGTCCCCAAACAATTTCCCAAATACAACAGGAAATTAAATTTAATGTAAGACTGTAGATTGCAGTCTCCTCTTTTCTAGCCTCTGACATATTTCTTCTGGAGAAGAACCGACAACATGTTTGAATGTGTGTGTGGAATATTTTAAATAGGATAAATAAGGTTAACTTGGTACCATTTAAAGCCGACAGGAAGCAGGGTATCCTGTTGTCTTGAGGAAAGTTCACGAGACACTTGTGTAATTGAAAGATAGAATGTTTCTAAGTTAATTGCTGGAAATGACCAATTAGTGAAACACCTCAGATAGAGGAAACATCACCAGCCCCATGATATCAGTCTTCAAACAAATTGTTATGAATGATCTACAATACCTTTGACAGAGAACTAATTACACATAATTCTTATTACTCATCATTGTGAGTAATGATGTAGGATCATTACCCAGCTGCCTTATCTACCTTTTTTTTTTTTTTTTTGAAGATGAGAAATTCTGGTGATTAAGCACAGCAGTGATTCAAATGACAGGACTGTGATTCAAGTCTGTCTGACCTCTGTCCACCCCCTTCAAATTCCCAAAATAATGACTGCAGAAGTTGTAATGTATCATTTTGCCTCAAGTACTCCAAGTGGTCTGAAAAAGTGGGGAGGTTTATCCTGCCTCCTACATCCTCCCATCTCCCCCAGCTTTCCATTCATTCCACATGTTTGTTGTACCTTCCCAGCATTGCCTCTGCTCTGGCAGCCAGGGGTAGGAGAGGGTGCAGTGGTGCAGTCATGTCCACCTTTGATTTATGCCTCAAGGCAGAAAGGCTTAGGCTCCTCATTGGGGCATGGGGACTGGGAGCAGCTGGGCAGCTCTCCTTGGCTGTCTCTGACTCAGTGCTAGCTGGGCCTGTTGTGGCAGATGTGGCAGCTGGGGGGGAGGGGGTCAGGGAGCCATCATGACCATGGCAATCAGCACCAAGATCAGCTACAAGGTCCAGGTGAGGGAGAATGGGGCAGTGAGGGGCACACAGGACTCTGGCCTTTCTCCCTCTACTGCAGGATCCCATCTCCCCGTTCCCATGTAGCAGGAAGAAAGAAGTAGAGAGAAGAGGCAAGGAGGAGTCATCCCATTACTGACAAGAGAAAGAGGAGCTGGAGGAAGTGAGGATTGCTGTGAGCTGCTGGACTCTTTCTACTCTCCATGCTCCTTTTGTGAGAATAAGCTCTGCCTGCTTCCTTCAACATCTCTGACTAGCTGCTCTTTCCCAGGAGGTGGACAGGTTGGGAAAACAGCTGGTCTGAAAGGGTGTCCCCAGGTGGTATTAAAAATATGTCTTCCTCGGAGCCAGAGACCTGGCCTTTTTTTTAAAAATGTTTATTTCTTGGGTCTGTGGCCTGTTGTAGTCCAGCACACTTTGATAACTCTTCACCCTCCTAACTTACTACTTTTGGTTAGTCTTCAGTCACTAACCGTCTGTCTGTTTCTATTCCCATGCTGATAAAAAGCAGATTTAGAACTAAAAGAAACTTACATCATCTTCATTCATTGTAACACTTGTCCTTTCCTCCTCATGCTTGTGATCCTTTTCCATTCTTCACTGTTATGCAGACCTCTAAGCTTTGTCATTCCTCACTGTTACATGTAACCAACTCAAGGCACAGAACTGTCTTCAGTTTACAGCAACATAAGCAACCACCTTGCTAGCCCAAGGGTAGGGGCAATTACTGAGAGGCCTCAATGATGCAGTTGTATCCTTTCTTTGGCGGTGGTGCATGTGAGCTCTCAGCATAGGTGCCTGGAGGGTGAGTCCTACTGCCACTGTTTATCCCCTTCCCTTGCTGCTGAATTTAGCAGAAAGGAGAGGAAGAGGAGACGGGTGAATAGCATCAGCATTTACCTGCTTATTCCAGAGTCATGCAAAAGCAGTGGCACATGTCAGATCCCACCCCAATCAGCTGGTGAGCTCAGAGCTCACTGCTCATATGGAGCTCTGGCAGCAGCCTGTGCTGACTGGGCAGTGAGCTCAGAGCTCGCTGGGTACGCATGGCACATCCAAAGTGGAGGGGGGAAAGAAGGCTGCATACCTTTGCCCTGTGTCCAGATCCACTACTGCCTAATGGCAAAACCATGTTTTCTAAAAGGTGAAATGGCTCCAGGCAGCACTTTAGGACTGATCCTTTGGCTCATTCTTCTCCATTTTGCCCAAAGAAATGGAAACTATCACCAAATGAACTGTTCTCAAGGGATTCCCTCAACACAGGAGAAGATCTCTAGACCCTAACATGAGTCAGCATATTCTATGCCTCCTTGCACTCCTGGGTAACCCTGCTGATACCTGAGCTGGATCAGAGATCCAAGGAAATGTAAGTGATGCCTGATTCTTGGTATCTTGTCCTTTTTCTGTCTTCTCAAGTACCTGGTGCATGTATGTGTTGGCAGGAGTGTTATGCATACTTTGCTAGGTGATCCTTTGGGCTCCATCATAGCCAGTTGCGCTCCTGTTTTGCTCTCTTTATGGCCACCAGCAGGGAAGCAGACCCCTCAATAACTAGACCTGGTAAGTTCCCTCCTCTGTAAGATGGTCAATAAGGGAGCTGCTTATACGCTGCAGCAGAAAAAGGTCTACAGTTTGCTTAGAGTGCTCTCAGACCACATTGACTCTGCTTTTGAGGAGAGATGGAGTAAGAGTGAGGAGGTCTCCATCCTGCATCCTGCTACTTCACCTGTAGTGTTGACACTGATTCAGATACTCCAGTTGTAATATAGCAGGATGTCTCCAGGAACATATTTTCAGTTCAAAAGGAAATACCTGTTTTCTTTCAGTGCTACATTCAGTTTCTTGTGTGTCATAAATGGCCTCAGGCTGCCAGTTGGACACCCTTGACCTATAGTGTGAGATTACATTAATAATAGTTTGTGTTTTGGTGATTTATGCTCCTTGCACACTGGTAAATCTGCACTGGACATTCAGTGTGCTGTGTATATATAAAATAGATAATATGAGATGAGCCCCTTTTCTTTATTCATTCATAATGACCCAATCAAGGGGCATATTTTAACTAAGCAATTTCTGTTGCCTTTTCTTGCTTTGGGCGGGGGGGGAAGGGGGTACCATTCCATTGTCATGACCCATCTCTAAAATGCATCTGAATTATTCTCTCTCTTTTTCACTGTGAGGCAGTGAAATCTATGGAGGATTAACCTCTGGCTTTCCCAGCAGCTGGATCTGGTTGTCTGGGACCTCTAAGCTTAAGTAAAATAGGAAGGATGCACATTATTAACTTCCTATGTTTATGTCTATGTACTTACATTATGTTTAATGGCTCAACGCTCCCATGCTTTCTTTCTCTAAGAAAATGTAAAAGCTTCTCATTATATACTGGATAAACAAACACAAAAATTAATTGTAACCAAACTTTAGCATTGTTTCAGGCATTAACAACTCACCTGACAAATTTTTGGTGCTTATGTTATAACTTGGCTTTTCAGTCATGAAGCAACAGGAAGCAAATTGGGCATCAGATTTCCTTCATTAAGCTATTTGTTCCTGTAATCAGAGTTTGCGCCAAGAAAAGCAGTCATTTCCCTTAGGAAACCCTTGTTACATTTATATTTAAAAAGTGCCTCCCTGGCTGGTGTTTTCTGTGGTATGTCCAGCTTTGTTTTCTGTTTCTGGTTTTAATCTTTTTCAATAAAGTTCAAGTTGTCACTGGTATTTGTTTTTCTTTTTTGTTTGTTTGTCTGTAGGGTTTTTTCAAAGGGAGGTAAAGAGAAGGGTTGCTTCCTGATTCTGAGTACTTTAGCACAGGCTGGACAGTATGACAGTGAGAACATGTATGTATGTATTTGCTAGAGAGAAGAGTATATATTTCCGATGGCTTGGGGAGCTTACCTCAGGATACTTTAGCCCAGAGGGGCCAATCCTTTTGGCAGCATGCCACAAATTAGCCCTTCACCGTCCCTAAGTACCAATCCAATCCTCTTCCCCTGCCTGATCTGCAGCAAAACAGAATTGCCAGCAAGGTGTGCACTCCAGGAGAAACACAGGGAAATTAGTACAATATAGCACCCATCACACCCTCATGGCAAAGTTCCCCTGCCTGATTCTTTAAACAAGATCTTCCCAGAACTACCCATCCTAACCTTTAAACAAGCACCGAACCTCACCAACCTCATCACCAGAAGTAAACTTCCTACAGCCCCAAAGTACACCAAATGGACCCAGATCATGCCATGGCAAGAAAAGTAAAACCTGCCAACACCTCTCCACCACCCCCACAATTACTACACCCCACAATAGAACCATCAGCATTCCTAGATCTTGCAGCTGCACCTCCAGAAATGTAATATATCTTATCCAGTGCACCAAATGCCCTGATGGAGAATATGTAGGAGAAACCAAACAACAACTGTGTATCACAATGAATGCACACCGAAACTCTATCAAAGACAAGAATACTCAATTATTGTGTGGGCACACCTCTCACAAGAAAACCAGTCTCTCTCCCATCTCTCAGTTCTAATCCTCAAAGGGAATTTACAAAACACCTTTCGCAGATGAGCCTACAAACTTCACTTTATCAACCTACTGAGTACAAAAAATCATGGACTAAATATAGACATTGGATCTATGGTACATTAGAACCTGCCTAAGATCCGATACCCCAGGTAACCTCTCCACTTTTTACCATTACATCCCATCACCAGGCCTGTATTCCCCTCCCCCCCACCTGTTTCTTACCCATTGTTGCCTCAATATGTATTTTCACTGACTGGCTTTCTCGTATACTGGCCTCTGGCTATTACATCCAGGAAGAG